AATTGTATTAATATTTAGAATTTTAATAATTCCAATTTTGAGTTTTCGTGATGGTTTTGTAATTTTATTTTTTAGGTGATTTTTAAGTTTAAGATTCTGATTTTTAGGCAATTTTTAGGTTTAAGGTTCCAATTTTAAGTTTTAAGAGGTTTACTTTTAAGACCTATAATATTTTTTACCATCACTTCTTAGATAGCTACTAGCAGATTTTTTTCAATTTTTCGTATACTTTTAAAAATTATCTGATAAGTTTTCTTTCTTTGACTGGAACTGAGAGTTTTAGAGGTTAAAATTGTAGTTTCTTTTGACAATTTTCATAGAAGTTTGATTTTTTTGATTTGATTTTTTTGTTTTCAATAATCCAACTGATTTTTAATGATATTTTTGATTTTCAAAAAATTTCAAAGATGTTTTTGATCTTTAATATATATATTTTTTAATTTTATTTAACAACTGTAATTCTTTTTATTGTAGACGGAACAAAGCTTTCTTTGATCTGTATCTTTAAAGGGAAGCAATTATCAAAAGGTAAATAGATACCTTTTAATATAATCATTTAGTTTTAAGAAAATGGGTAGATGGATACTGAATTGATGAAATAGTATATTGATTACCTTAAAGACATAAAGGTTAATAGCTGATTCAAGGCTCTGACCTTAATAGTTTATAATTCTTTTCGAGAACACTTGGAGGAATTTATAAAAGAGAAATTCCACAATTATGGAATAGATTTAGCTATTATACTAGGTGATTTAACAAATCTCTATTAACCACTTGACGTAGTAATAAATAAACTATTTAAAGACAATAACTTACGTAAAGAATAGTACCTTTGAATAGCTGCTGGAGATGCTAGAAAGATGGTAGCAGGTAATCTTAGATGTACTAAACTTGGTGACAGGTAAAATGTTTTTAGAAGAAAATCTCTAATGAAATTATTATAGAATCCTTTAAAATTTACGGCATTTTAAATACCTTAGATGATATAGAAGATTCTGATAAAAAAAATGATAGTGATTCAAAAATTATTAGCGATAATAATTTGGAGAATGATTTGGAGAATAATAGTATTAAGAATGATATAAGCAGTAATGATTTGAAAGATGATGTAAGGGATAATAATTAGTAATAATAAATGAATAATTAAAATGATAAAAATCTTTTAATAAAGTTTAATTAAACCGTAATTATATATGTTAATACTTAAATAATATAAAATAAATCAATTTTCGGGGGTGCTTTTTTTTAGCATATATATAAATATGGAATGCTTAATTTCAGGAGATGCTTAATTTCAGAAATATACATATTATATAAAACTAATATTAGTTTTTAAACTAGTATTTTATATAAAGATTGTCACATTAGCAAAATAAATTATCCACATTTTATATAATTTATAGTGTTAATATTTTTTAATTACACAATTTCATATGTTAAATTTTAAATTATATTATAATAGTTAAATTTTAGATAAAATTAATTAGCAGATTAAAAAGTCAATTTTATTGCTATGTAGATTGTTAGAAAGATTATTTTATTTATTTTATTGCTATCGATCATTATGTAAATCCCTAGATTTCAATTTTATTACCTTTGATAATCATGTAGATCATAAATGTTTATTTAATTACTTGTAAATCTGGTAATTTTATTAACATAGCAACTTTATTATCTAGTGAAATGGTAATTTTATTTTCTTCAATATATTTAGTTTAATTTATTTTATTAATTATTTAATATATATAAATATCATTATATTTTTATTAAGTTTTATTAACTTTTTAATAAAAATAACTGATAAGATGTTAATCTTTTAAGTACAAACCTTATATAATATATTAATAAAGAAGTATAATTAACCAAGTATAAAATTTATCCTTTAAAATTATTTGTGATCCTTTTGCATTTGTGCAATCTCTTTAATTATTATTAATTAACTTATTATATAATATTATATTAATTCGCTATATTAAATCAGAGTCTCTGAAGCATAATCTTTAAAATATCTTTGAGTTATCTTTATATTTATTTTGCATATTTTTATACTGAGAATAATCTTTGATATTATTGTAAATCCTCACTAGTGATTCTTCAAGTAAGTATCTTAATTTTATTTATCTTTTAAGATTTTAATTAAAATTACAAACTTATCATAATAATATAATTATTTAGTTTATTAAATATAATACTCTCAGAAAAGTATTCAGTTAAGCTCTTCTTAAATTATTCGAGATCAGATATATTAACTAGCTATTTTTTTTAAATAAATCTCCTGATTTTGATGATTAAATACATATGTTTATATTCATATAATAATATATAGATCAGTTTTAATAAACAGAAACATAAACATTTCTCTTTTTAAAACTGTATTGTTCGATGTGGGAAAAAGTCACAAATTAAATAAGTTTGAATGCAAAAAAATAATCAGTTTACGGATAGCTGAGAGAATCTATGAAGCTATTGCTCATCTTTTAAAGATTCCACAAAGCACTGTTACAGATATAATCACTTGACATGCTAATTCTAGTAATAGATCAAATACTAAAAAAATTGGAAGACACCTTCCATGAATAATGATGATCATTAAATACTAAAAAAAATTTTAAAGAAGAATCATTGATCTTCTCTTAGTGAAATTCATCACAATTTTCAGAATTTAAAAAATAAAAAAGTTTCACAAGATACTATTTGTAAAACTCTTCATTAAATAGAAATTCATTTACGAATTTCTGTGTTAAAGCTACTTCTTACAGAATCTCAACATGAAAATTGATTAAAATGATGTATGGAGCGATAAAGTTGGTCAATTCAAAAATGGAAAACAGTAATTTGGAGTGATGAATCATGATTTACTCTTTTTGAAAATGATAGATCTGATCGTATTTAGTGAAAAAATAGTATTTGATATGATATTAAAAATTTGACTCTTACAGTCAAACATAGTGGCGGTAACATCATGGTATGGGGATGCTTTTTAGGAAAAGGATTAGGTTTACTAGTAAAAGTTGAAGGAAAAATGAATCAGCTAGATTATATCAATATTTTAGAAAAAAATTTATTGCCATTTATTCAATCTAAACATTATAGATAGCTTTATGTATTTTAAGATGATAATATTTCAGTTCATACAGCGAAAGATGTCAAAAACTTTATTGTTCAGAAAAAGGTTAAGGCACTTCTCGACTGGCCTTCTCAATCACCAGACCTTAACCTGATTGAACATTTATAAAGTGAACTCAAACGAAAGCACAATAAATATACTGTACATCCAAAAAATCTTTATGAACATGAGGAAATATTGTAAGAAGAATGGAGAAAAATTCTATTCGAAAATTATATTAAACTTATAGAAAGTATGTCACATAGAATTAAAACATACATTAGAAGCTAAGGATGGCCTACTAAATATTAAATATATTAAATATTTTATTTAAAATATTATTTTGGTTAACTGAATACTTTTCCGAGGGTAGTATATATAGCTTAATATATATAATTAGTTCAGATGCAGTATATGACATTTTATTATATGAATTATTATAATTAGCATAATCAATTATAAAATATTAGTTTTATAACATATAGTTTAGTATAATAAGATTTCAGTATAAGCAAATTCGTTATATCTAGAATTGACTATAAAATTTTTTTTATTTCTAAAAATAAGGTTTTTCAATCAGAACTAACTACTTATTTTTCATTTTAAATTTACATTTACTTAATAATTTATTTTATTACAATTAATATTAAAATACTTTACTGTTTAATTATTTTTAGTTTTTTGCATAAAAATTATCTTTTTCTTATTTTTAAATGAGTATAAATTTAGTAGTATTTATTTTATAATTTGTATTTACATTTTTATTTTATTATTTTTATACAAAAAATATATTTTGAATATTATATAATATATTGTAAATAATAAATCTAAAATTCAATCAACAAAAATCATATGATTTGATAATTGTTTGAACAAACTTCTTTCATTTTATTAAATTATCTGAAAATAAACTACATTATAGCAAAAAGTGTTGCTTATTTTTAGAAGAATATGATGTGATAATTGGCATTTTTTTTTACAAAAAAAATTTCTATTTCAAAAATAACCAGAATATTTATTATTAATTTAGAATAGCAATACAAATTTATTATTCCTTATAACTGAAAGTAAATAGAATAAATGAAAAGTATATTATTTTATAAATTCAATTTGAAATTTAAATTTATAACAAATCAGATTCTAAGTTAACAAATGTGCTATTTAAATACAACTGAAAATATTTTATACTAATATGAATATTGTAATATGAAAGTATTTGTGATTTAATTCAAGAATATAAAAATTAAAGATTTTAAATGTATTAATTTATTAAAGATTATACAAATAGTAATATATTTTATATATTCTAATATACTTTAAAAAAATTACAAATTAAATTAAGATGAAATATAAAAATATATAATTAATAAGATATGTTAAATACTGTTACATTTAATATATGATTTTGTCCATTCGCTAAATTTGGTTAGCCTTTATAGATCAAATTTCGTCAATTTATATATGCTAAGCAAAACCAAAATCACATTTTGACAAAGGTCAAAACCTTTCGATTTCGATGGGTTTCAATGGATTTCGACGAGTTTTGACGGGTTTTGACAGATTTTGACGGGTTTCGATTTTGATCCTGTCGAAACCTTCAGGAAACCTTAATATATGCCAGGATTTGAAATTCCTTAAATCGAATAACACGCACAATTTCCATTCTCACAGTTCGTCTTCCTTATTTTGCCTTAATCCTTTCCCTTTCTCCCTTGTTATATTATCGCTTTCGCTATTTAACTCCATAATTTTCTTTGTAGAGGGCCGATGCTGATTAATTAATATATTGAACAATATTTACATCATAATTATTTAATTGCTTATTAAGAAATTGGTTATAAATACATAAATGAAGGAACTGGCTATCTAGCACAACCGCAAAAATTAAAAAAAAATGAAATTAAGTAAATTATTAGTTTGTGCGTTATTGCTCTTTAGCCTGCAATCGACCAGCGCTGATGCTTTTCTGCCTCAAGTTAAAGGAATTAAATTTTTAACGATATCTGGCAAATGTGTCATTACCAATGTTGTTAGCGGTGCTGTCTTAGGAATAGTTACAGGACCTGTGGGTCTTTATTTCAATACCGCTACTTGTACTGCAATTGGCTATTGGCAATACTCAGGACCGCAAGAAACTATAGCTATCGTCAACGATATGTTAGTTGATACAATTGTAAGTGTTGCTAGCGGTGGCACGCTTAATACCAAAAACATGAGAATGCTAGAAAATGTTAGGAAAACATGTTTTACTTATATTACTAAAAATATTGGAAATAATGTTGCTGCGAAGACAGCTCAAAGCATAGGTGCCAAGGGTTTAAAATACTTGGGTATTGGAATCTCAAATGTACAAAAGACTTATAGTACACCAATAATTAATGCAGTTGCTGATTCTTTTTTCTCTAATAATGCTAAAAGATTAGTAAAAAATGTTAAATTAGTATAAGGGTAATATGAGCAACATTAAATATGTGAGCATGCTTATAGTTCCACTGGAAATGCTTTTACTCATAAAAGGTTATTTGTTTCTCAGTAATACAAAGGTCATTACTAAATTGTAGTGTAGAATTAACGCATGTACTTGATGAAATATATGTACATAATAAAGACTCTTTTGATAGTGTTCTATTGTATTTTTTAAAAAGTGTCAAATTTCGTTGATGCGATCAAAAACTTTATTTTTTGGTCGGTGTAAATAATATTAAATAAGTAATATTTTTCTAGACAACTAAACCACCACTTAATCCCTCGAGTGTAGTATAGGAACAATAAATAGGTTTGATTCTTTTTGATTTTTTATTACAATCAATAAAGCAAAGGCGGGTTAATGCAATTTTTTACATATCAATACTTTTTCATGCAGTATAGAAGGTATAGACGTTAATCGTGTTAATCGTATATACTATAACTGAGAATTTCTCTTGACTTGGAAATGGCCCTACAATTTATTACTAATAAATGCTTAAGATTATAGATAAGGAATCATATATTTGTTTAGCATTAGTCGAAACATTAGCAATTTTGGGCTTGACTTTAACCAATATATGATGGTGACGTTCGAAAAATAAAATGGATTATATGCTATTTTTGTGCGTTTATTGATTGCATTGTAATGTGTATCGAGCCACGTATCTTAGATCGGTCTATAATATATTGCCATTCTCCACTACCCGTTCGTTTACGCTCAATACCCTGTTGTGAGAATGCTCGCTATTTCCATCGTACCAAATAAGATAATCCTGATGTAAAATAGTACACTCCCCTCCAAAAAATATCCGACCACTTGCCGATCATTTACCGATCATTTGAAATTATAGCTGATTTTGACGTTTATTACTTAACAATTTATTAATA